CAGTTCAACACTCATTAACAGTTCAACACTCATTAACAGTTCAACACTCATTAACAGTTATCAATAACAATTGTATTAAAGCATCTAAAACAATTTAAACATGAACAATCAAATTACTTTTTATTTTGCAAAATATCATTTAAATAAAAATAAAAAAATGGTTTAGGAATAGGTTAGGAAATGGTTGTTTAAGGTTTCATTACTTATGTGGTCATTTCAATGCTTGTTGCTATCGTAATCTTGATACTTGTTGTTGCCACCATACTTTTCTGCTGATCTGCTTGTTGTGTGGGGTATTTGCAATAAGAACTTCTCACCAATAGGTCAACGAATCGTAGATGTTCAGTTTAATCCGACTGATCAGTGTGTCCTAATTAGTTCTATGAGCTTTCACCTAACGATGATCATGATCTGCATTATTAGAGTTGTACTGATTTATACCAATTGGCTCAGAATAATACTAGTTGCATTGATAAAACTTTGTGTATTATTTTTACTCTGGCTGTGGATATTTATCCAGGTGTACTCTTAAATGCTGTTCTGTTAATCTTGTGGCTGTGTGGGATGTTAGTAGTAAAAACCTCTCACCAACAGGTCAACGAATTGAAGATGTTTCCGGGTAATCTGACTGAACAATTCGTTTGAAGTGAATTTTACAGCTATCACCTACTATGCCTTGATCATGAACTGCATGAGTAGAACTGGATTGATATATACTAATTGTCTCAATTATATTGGATGCATGCACACATCTGTAATACGTTGTGTTTACTGTTTTCGTGGATTTTTTTTTTTAGTTTATTGTTTATTTTTAATACCAATTCAACAAATATATGTTAGTTCAAACCGTGTAAAACTAATTTAACTAAATTTAAAATCAAACCTTGCAATTTGTAAACTAAAATTTATCTATCTAAAAAACTTGCTTTTATGTATTTTGTTGGGCATCAGGGACCAAAGAGATAAATTAGAACTTCCATGATATTGTATATCTTTAGTCTCGCGATACCCTTTCCTTGACTAATTATTTAATTTAAAATGTTTTTTTTAATAATTTAGGACACTTTCAGATGTTTTCTATTTTTTTATTTTATGCTCTCCAAACACAGCATTACTAACCAATCACCTTATACTTTCATCTTTGAATCAATTAACACTTTCACTGACCAATAGCATTATTATTTACTGAGGCTTAGCTTGAAGGATATTTTTCTTTTAATTGACTAAAAGCAAACTACGTCATACAACACCTGTGTACAATTTTACAACTTACATGCGCTTTATAAACTGCTCATTGACATAAAATATCCTTCGTAAGACTTATTCTTATTCAATATCAAATTAATTTAAGACTTTTATCTTCAATATTTTTTATTTTATTTTGTGTTTATTTGCCTTAAATTTATACTTTAGTACTTAGGAATAATGTCAGTTATAAGTTTTTGTCTCGTAATATTACTTCTTGCGCAACATGTTTTATTAACTTTTTTAAAAGTATATCAGTGTAATTTGTTTAAAATGGAACAAATTAGGGTATTTGGCTGAGCAGTAGTATGTCCTCTCAAATGTTGAGATATGCCAGAGTAAATATGCGGACACTTTCCCAATTATAATAAATGTTTTGGATGTTTTTTCTGATACTTCTGCTTTATGTTTAATAAATTAAGTTATTTTGTTATATTGTGTTAATTGGTTTATCACATTATGATTACCACAATGATGGCAATTATTAACAGTTGTTTTGGTTTTTGTAAAAAATTTTGTATACAGTCAACTCTTGATATCTCGAACACTAAGGGGACCGTAAAAAAAGTTTGAGATATCAAGAAAAGGGTTGAAAATAAATAAAATTGCCTGACTTTCATTAAAACAAGTTATTTTTCTGACAAAAATCATTAACAACAAAAACTACAAATTTTGGAAAAAATCTGTTATCTGATATTGCTTTAAATTATCCATCTTTTCCATCTTCATTAAATCCTCAAGTTTTAGTGCTAGGGATTGTATTTCATAGTATTTTAAGCTGTATAGTGAAGCATTTTGAATCGTTTCAAAAGCAATTTCTAATTGAATATCAGATGGGCGTGGTGGGGCTTCGACGTCAATAGCTTCGTCAACGCTATCTTCAACTTCATTATCGTCGTTTTCAAAATTAGGGTCTAAAATCAGAGCAATGATTTCAGCATCGGCAGCAAGTGAACCGGTGGTTACTACATCGCAATCTAAACCAATGTAAGATTCCGCTCAGAGATCTTCTTGGACGGCACGAGGATCTAACTCTCCCCAACGGTTAAGTTCTTTTGTCAAAAATTTAAAAGGATGATTATCATCAGCTTCTTCAATACTCTTGTTTGTTTTGCTGATGCCAGCTTTTTTAAAGCAGTTGATGACAGTCTCCTTCGACACAGCATTCCACAAAGAAACAAGATCTTTCATTGCTTGAAGTATAGAAATTTTTGGCATGGGTTCGTTATTATCGACAGCCTTGATACACAAACACACAATTTTGTGACAATAATGAGCTTTAAGACTTTGTATTACGCCTTGATCCATGGGCTGAAGGATAGATGTGGTGTTAGGGGGAAAAATATTTGGTTGACTTTTCAGAAATTCGATTCTTAAAAAAAAATCGAATTAAAATTTTTTTTTTTTCGAAAATTGGAATTTAAAAAAAATTAAATTTTATTAAAACATTTTTGAAAACAAATATGTTGAAAAGTTCGAGATAACGAGAGAAAATTGCCCTGTAGACCAAAAATATTGTTCGAGATACCAAAAAGTTCGAGATATTAAGGTTCGAGATATCAAGAGGATTTTAGCCTAAACTAGTACATTATGTCCATGGGACCGCTAAAAAACTTCGAGATACTCAAAAGTTCGAGATATCAAGTATTCGAGATATCGAGAGTTGACTGTATTTATTTTATGAATTCTTACAGTTTTAGTTATATGTTTACTATTTTTTGTCTGAGGCTGACGGGTTTGTGTTGCTTGGGGGTACACAGATTTATTTTATTTATTGGTATTTGAGATTATAAACTAAATGTAAAACAATTATTTTTACTAAAACATTTTATATTTTTATAAAACAAATTTACTAAAATGATCAACTAAACAGTATAACTATATCTGCATTAGTATAAAACAAATAACTCCATGTTAATGGTATTATTTCTGTTTTAATATAAACTAAGTGTTAAACAAATATTTCCAGTAATAGGGTGTTGATTATAGTTAAATGTAAACTAAGTATAAAGCAAATAAGGCCATTAAAATGATATACATTTTTAAAAACAAATAACTCTGTTAAAATGGTATACATTTTTAAAAGGAATAGCTGCACTATAATGGTATAAATTAAAATTTTATTTAAACTAAATATAAACTAAGCATAATTCGAATTACTCAACAAAAATGGTATAAATTATATTTAAATATAAGCTAAGTGTGATACAAAGAATTCCACTTAGAGAGTATACAGTTTTAAAATGAATAACTGCACTAAAACAATATCGATAGTTTATTTGTATAAACAAAGTATAATGTATATTACTCTAAGAAACCGATATAAGTTATAACTGTACATAAATTAGATTTAAAACGGTATAAAGTTTGAGTCAAATGTGAACTAGATATTAAACAAATAACCCCACTTTAACGGAATAAATTGTGATTAAAAATTAACTTAGTATAAAACAACATTTTTAGATTAAAGGTATATAATATAATTACATACAAACTATGAAAAAAAAAATAACTCCACTGCTACGATATACATTTTTTAATACAAACCACACCATAATGCGGTTTTAAAATATAATTAAATATTACTTAGTATAAAACGAACATTTCCGGTCAAAGGGCATTACTTAAAACAATTAAACATTAACTTGGTATAAAACGAACATATCCCCAATTATAAACAAAGTAAAGGCGATGAAACAAAAAAAGTATAAAACAAATATTTCCATTTAAAGGGTATAAAGTAAATATAAGTATAAGTTAAAATAAATTAAAACTATATATAAAAATAAAAGGCATAATGAAATATAAATTAAAATATAAAATGAGAAGTTCTACTAAAATGGTTTACATTTTTAGAAAACAAATAACTCCACTAAAACATAGATCATAATCATTTACAAACTAAGTATAAAACGAGTAGCTTCATTTATACGATATAAATTATAATTAAATATAGATAAGTATAAACAAATACCGCCCCTGAAGGGAGGTATTTCTTTATACATTATGATTTAATATAAACTAAAATAGTTTAACTACCATAATATGAACAAATATAATATAAATTAATTGTAATTTATAAATAAACTAATAAGTGAATATTTTCAATGAAGCAGTATTTAAAAAAATCTAGATATAACCCATGTATAAATTGAATATCTCTGCTAAAATAGTATACATTGTATACGTCATACAAGATATAAATGATCAGTGAATAGAATTTCCTCCTCTTCACTCCATGCTTCCATACTAGGCACCTGTCCAATTTTTTTGATCATTGTTTAGTTAACACTATCTCCAATAAAATTATAACTTCTTTTTCACTGAGGTATTTACGGTTATATATATTCCCTAAAGTAACTGCATTCTTTTGGAGTTCAGATAGGAAGTTATACAAGAAAAACCCTATCGTTAAAAACATATGGAAACCATTATAGTATCGTTAAAAACATATCGTTAAAAACATATGGAAACCTAAATCATAATATTTCTAACTGGACTTTTGTCCTTTTTTATAATTACTTGCTTAATACTTACTCTAATATAATCTTTTTTGCATTTTTACTTAGGATTTGATGGCCTGATGTGTTCCTAATAGTGACTCTTGCTCTAATTGCAAACATTAATTAACAAATTATATTTTTTACTTGTTTTTAAAAAAATCATAGAAAAGCATCTTTAAAAATTAGAAATTAGGTTTTATTTTATTTTTTAATTTATTTACATGTTAATTTTTCTTTAACTTTTTTATGTAG